AAAAAAAGAATGTTTAAGGTTGTTTTAAGGACATTATCGGACATGCTCAATGGAAGCCATTCTAAAGCAGCCAGGGGTGGATTCTAAATGAACCAAAAAGCAGAGACAGGACCAATTGTCAAAACTTGGTGTCGATCATTCGATTTCATCCTGGACACTACAGAAAATGGGCTAAAAGTGTTAAAAACCGAACTTCTCCTTTAATGGTCATATTTATTAGGCTTGTTGATTAACTGTATGAAAATAATCTTTTAAAATATAAAAGTCCAGGACATGCGATCTAAAGTCTGCACATGTATTCCTTTACTTGTAAACTCGACCATTTCTTCTTGGTTTTCCATCAGATTGTTCTCTGCCCAAATGATTAGCTGTGCCCAAGTCTGATGTGGATTTTATGCAGCAAAAATAGAACAGCCTCCTGTTTTAAAGAAGCGGCTTCAGAGAGGCGCTGTGACGCTTTCAGTGGGAACACTCTGATTGACTAGAATTGCTGCACTTAGCTACAACAGCCCAGCAGACCGCAGAGCGTTTGCGCCGCTTCCATTTTGGAGCTGGGGGGATAAGGTGTTTTTTTTTTCAATGAGTTGCTGTAGATGTTGATAGTTGTTAGCAGGTAGCATCTTCTGTATCTATCCGCCTTGCACCGGATCTGAAGAAGACTCTGATTGAAAACGTTCTGTTGTTGTTTAACAGTCTGATGAAGAGGATGCTCACTGTTCTCCAAAATGTTCTTCACTTTATGAAGAATTCTTTGTGAAATCATCTCCAGGGGTTCTAGAGGGGTTCCTAGAACAAAGCTGATTACCTTTATTAGCTCGTTCAGCTTCTTTATGTCATTTGCTCTGATGCTGTTACCCCAGCAGATGATGTAGGATGAAATCACCCTTCACAACAGAAGATATGCAGCATCTTGCTGCAAACACTGAAGAATCTCAGTTTCTTTCAGTCATTAAATCTCTTCTTTTTGTAGATGCCTCAAAGTTGTGGCAAGTTTAAGGCAGGCATACTAATTGTAAATACAATTTTTATTCTATCACACAGCAAAGCAGAACAAAGCAGCACGTATTGAGAGAGCAGCCAGACAATAAAAGTAAATCCTACAGGTTTATTAACTTACAGGCGGCCCCTGGATGCCTTTAGGTCCTTCATCTCCAAGTCGGCCCTGGTAGAAGAAAAAGCAAAGGTGTACGTGTTTATTGTACAGAAAATTTAATAAATACAAGCAAAAGCTTTCATTTTATTGTATGGAATTAGAACTAATTATATTTTGTGTCATTTAAATTGTTCAATATTTGCACTGTTCTTGTTTCGCATGATTTTTACATACTGAGCAAATTTGTAGTTGAACTGAAAAACATGTTTTATTGATATAAAAGAGTAAATAGATAATTTGTTCTTAAATTACTTCCCTTGCATTTAAGTCTACTGTTTTTAGGACGTATTTGATGATAAATCTGTTCTCTCACCTGAGATCCCCGAGGTCCTCTGTCTCCAGGAGAACCTTGAACACCCTTAATAAGGATCATTTAAAGAATACACGGTTTATAGCATGTTTCCTTTATTAAAATCTTACATATTTCAATTAAAAGTTTTAAATATAGATGTGTAGTTAACTGCCAAAGAAGTTGGTATTTTTGATTATCTAACATCAGTTAATAAGTATTTAAAAGACAAGCAAACTTACTTTAGGACCTGGCTTTCCTGGAGGGCCGGGTAACCCTCTTAAACCTGGCTCACCCTTTGGAAAAACAAAAATGAAAAATAAAAAATTCCTTTTAATTTTTATCTCAACTTAAAGAATCAAAAGAAAAAACAAACAAACAAAAATGCCATTCCATGCTGATCTCTAGAAGAAATGCTGATAAAAAGAATCTTTTAATTTCAGCAGCATGGAGGACATTATTTGGTAGAATGGGCAGTTAGTTCCGACATTATGCAGGAATAAAGCTAATTGCCTAATTTCTAACTTCCAAGTCATTAATTTCAACAAGAATACTCTCTGAGGTTGGAGTTATGAGTTGGAAACACAATGGTTCACAATTTTCACATTCAATATGAATGTTTCTCACATCAACAGCAGATAAAACCTCCCTACTCCAACCTTATGTAGCAATTATTCATTTTATTTGTGGCATTAAGTCTGTTGTTTAGGGGCTATTCTGAGTGTTTAGACAGCATTATGTTTTATTGCCGTGAATGTGTGCAGAACACATCGTAGAACAGCGTTTTTGCCATTTTCATGGTCATAACTGCTGCCCTAGTGGATTTAGTAAACGTGAGCGTCTACAAGCTGAAAAGTGGATCTCATTTAACTAAAGATTACGTCACTCCAACTTGTTACATTCAAATTCGAAGGATAATCTATGGAATCATAAAGTCAGAGCAACATTAACATAACCTCTTGCTTTTTGCCTTAACAGTACATGAAACATTCAGACTTTTACTGTTTTTAGCAGTTCTTTCCTTTTTAAGTGACATTAAGACAGCCTTATACACACTAACACTGCTTGTGAGAAAAGATGTTTTAATGCAGTTTTCCCCCCTTTTTTTAAACAGCTGCCACTTACACACAAAATGAACAATACAAGAACTGATTTGAACTATTTGACCCAACTGTACTTCCAAAGGCTAAATATTTGATTCAGCGTAAGATCGTCATTGTTACAGCGGTCTGTGAACTGAAAGAGGGAAGTTCTTTTACCCTTTCTCCTATTGAACCTGGAAGTCCTTGGATTCCCGCGTTCCCTGCAGCACCCTTTTTTGGAGAAATAAAGAGAGAAAAACCACAGTTATCATAAAACTAATTTATTAGAACAAAAATGCAGAAGTGTAGTTTTGATATATATGTGTTTAAAAATCCCTATTTTATTGGTAATGATTAATTTCCAAAAACCTTACAACATTCTTGTAAAAAAAAAAAAAATCTTTGCCCATTTTTACCTGATAGAAGTTGTAATGTTTTAGACATAATACTAATATGTTTTTAAACATAAAAAAAACAAGAATATTCTACAAAGAAGTTTAAGTTTTATGATTTTTTTAAATGTATTTATTTTTTTTCTTGGCCTTAATTGGTTGTTACAGGTTTCCTTGTAAACATAAGAAACCTGCAACAACCATTTAATGTCAAGAAAAACAATATATACTTTAAAAAATCCTAAAATTTAAACTTCTCTGTAGAATATTCTTGTTTTTTTTATGTTTACTCACTTTAATGTCTAATTTAGGGCTGAAACAATTAATTGGATTAATCTTGATTAATCAATTATTGAAATAATCGTCAACAAATTTAGTAATTGATTAGAGTTTAAAGCACTAAAACATGCCTTTAGCAGAGTAACCCACCCTGTGCAGCAATTATACCAAAATTGTGAGAAAAAGAACATTGTAAACATTGTAAACAATTAGCATTTAAGATAAAAATCATTTTGGTCTGTCATTCTCTATACAGAACTTCTCAAGTGTAAAGTTAGTTTTACCTGGTTTAATTTCATAAAGAATCTTTTTTATAGGAACCTTTTGCTATAATTGAGAGAATAATTGATTTGCCAAATATTCATTAGCTGCAGCCCTGGTCTAATTAATTCGTAATTCTCTAAATCAGACTTCTTTTATGGAAAGGCTGCCACCGTGCTCATTTAATTATTGAAGAATCACTTACATACATGCCAACTGGGCCCTGAGGTCCTTCCAGGCCTGGTTTCCCTGTAAAACCCTGAGAAAACAAAACACGCAATAATATTAATAAAATTTCATAAAACAACAATATAAGAAGCTGCTATGAATGTCTCACTTTTTCTCCTGGAGGACCTGGAGAGCCCAGGGGACCCGTCTTCCCAGGTGGTCCCTGAAAAAAACAACAAAAACTTTATTTTATCTTCTCACTCATTATAAAAGTTTGTGTTTCAGCACCTCTGATGTTAACTGGGTTATGTAAAGTAGGGACTCTCAGTGTTTGGTGCTTTTTAACAATTTCTATCTTAGAAGACAGCAGTATAATGTTCACATTGGAATGTGTAAACAAAATAGTACGGTTATGATGTATTAATTTAAATTAGTTCATATTCTAAATCAGGCATCTCCAAACTCAGTCCTCGAGGGCCGTGGTCCTGCAGGTTTTAGATGTTTCTCTGCTCCAGCACAGCTGATTTTAATTGATAGCTGATTAACAGGCTTTTGCTCTACTGCAATCATCAGAATCAGCTGTGCTAAAGCAGGGAAACCTCTAAAACCTGCAGGACAGCGGCCCTTGAGGACCGAGTTTGGGGATGCCTGTTCTAAATTGTTCAAATTAAGCCCCAACTAAACCTATTTACATTATAATTACCATTTCAATTTCATTAATAATGTTTTTCATTACATATAAAATTTAATTCTAAAATATTTAAAAGTCAAATTTTCTTTTTGCTTCATTTAATCAGTGTAATTTCAATTGCTTATTTGATACTGCTGTTTTGGATTCAAATTTAAGCTGTTTTAAATAATCAACTAAAGTAAAATTCAAAACAAGCATCTTTCAGGTATTGCACTCTTGTCTTGATTATCATCCACTTATCATTGGGTTCAGTTGATATTCTTCAAATGCATTTTTCCAATTGTTTGTTTATGGTTAAGGCATATAGCTTGGAATCCTGAGGTTGTAAGTTCAAGCCCCACTCCCACACACTGCCAATCTAGGCGGAGCAAAATGGCAGCCCATTGCTCCCCAAGCTCAGTGGTTCCCAAACTTTTTTGGCTCAAGGTACCCCTACACATTTTTCCACCCAGCCGTGGTACCCCTAAACTTATGATTATTTGACATTATTTAATAATAATTATTTTTCGGTCATTTTTTTCAAAGTTGTAAAGAAAACATAAAATGAAGCCCCTCGTCTTAGAATATATTTGCTTACATCAAAATAAATTTACAAAATTGTTAAAATGTAAAAATGTACATTCAATATAAAACTCTCATCAATCTATGAAAAAATCCTGCGGCACCCCTGTAGTGACCTCGTGGTACCCCTAGGTGCCGCGGCACCCACTTTGAAAACCCCTGCCCAAGCTGATGGGTTAAATTAGATAAAATAAGATAAGATGGGATAAATTAAATGTAGATAAGAAATCATTTAAAAAAGTAGTTGACAAATTGTATTGTCAAGCGTTTCACAAAATAGTTCTAACTATTGTTATACGGATGAGGGATGTGTTCTGCCTCTGCAGAACTCTTTAAACTCCTGAACAATGATGGATGCCTCCTCCTTGTCTATGAACTAACTGGATATATAGCATACCGGTGAACCTGGGGGCCCATCTGGTCCTCTTGTACCAGCATTGCCTGGAAAACCCTGAAAAAATAGGACAGGAATTAAAGAAAGCAATAGATACATAATTTACACATCGATATCAAACTGATTTAAGACATAAAGTGAGCTCTAACTACTCCTAAGTTATAGATATTAGAATCTATAGATATTTTAATGTAGCCGTTACTATTTACTCTAATTTTAATTAATCATATCAACTCTTGATTGTTCCTATAAATGTGAAAGTTTTCTCTAAACTATTGTTTATACAGGATATGTAAACAGGAATTTTGATTGGAGACAAATTGTTAACTTGATGGACAATGATGTGATGGAGAATATTTGAATCTTTGCTATAAGGGAAGCACAAAAAACATGTGGTCGACGTCTGTTTTTTATGACTTTGGAAGGATTCAATATGAAATCTTTAATACCAAGGCTATACAGCAGCTAATATCTCCAAACACATGAGGGAAATATGTAGCACAACGTATATTATCCAGGCCCATGTCGTCATTCATCAGGTTTGGTTAAAAATATTATCAGTATTTATACATCACTATTCACTTTATAAAATAAAACTCAGGCAATTGTGTAACAAGAGATAAAGATAAACTGAAGAAAGAAGAAACAAAAAGCAGAAGAATCTCCATATTAATCTATAACAGAATAATTACAGGTAGTTGTCCCTATTAAACAAATTTAGAATACATGCAAAGATCTTTATTTCAAAATACTCTATTAGTTTACAGTACAGTGTATGATAAAACACTCCTTAGAACCCTTACCTGTATTGGACAAGTTTTATTCCATAAACTAAATTATTTGTTTGAAAGGAATTCTTGTATTTGCAGTTTATTTTTGTACCGACAGCCATCGGTATTAGATGTTATAACTAAAAGGCACTGCAAATAAGCCAGCTATGGTTTCTTTTCAGGTTTGCAGAAAGCCAACTTCTATAAATCTATTAAACCTTTAAACAATCACATATGTGATCTACTGCGATAGACTGAAGAGCTGTAACCCCCCCCTCGCCCATGGACTGCCAGAGATAGGAACCGGCCCCTCTGCGACCCCTCGGAATAAACAGGAGAAGATGATGGATGGGTATGTGATCTAAAACAAAGATTTTTTTTAGAAAAATCACCCAGCCTGAAGCAGGACTCCAGTATAGCAGCACTGACTTTAATACTGCCCGTCCAAGAAAAGACAAAAACACAGACATAAGACACTGGGAGACGTGGTGTCCCTGGCCTTGCTGCCATTAAAGGTGCTGCCCATACATTAATTAAGAAAATAAGAGAGAAAAGAATAACAATGGGAGAAAGAACAGAAACTGTTTTGCTTCAACAGAATACCTAACATCTTGTGGGGGAACAGTGAAGGCGATACAGGGTGTGTATGTTGAGGATGAGTGTGTGCCTGAGAGTTAGTGCAAGTAAGTCCAACAAGCTCTGTCCAAGTTGTCATTGTCCTTGATAGTGCGATGTAATGCAATATTTATCAACTGGCTTCACATGGAGCAGGTACTGAATGTCCTCAGGGAAGGGTGGGAGCAGAGCATCCAGTTTACATAATATCCTGGAGGAGCTGGAGATATATAGTGTTCATATGAAATCATACGAAAAGTTATGCACAGTATTTCGTAGGTTTTTGACGTTTTTTTCGTCGTATTTTTACGTCTTGCCTCGAGACAAGATATCAGTGCGCATGCGCATCTTACGCAGCCTTCAATAACATACAATTTAACATACAATTAACCCTAACTCCAAGATTTATTAATCTGATATATTTGGAGATAAAGCCTTAACATCCTCACTAATTTCTATAAAATCCCTTACACCCTATTTTACACTGAAATTATCAAAATCTTAACCTTAAGTAACAAAACTCCTACCAATATTAGACCTAAAAAATATTTATTTATAAAACTTTTCCCTCTACCTACCTCCCTTCCCTCAGTTTAGAACTGCAGGGAGTGGAGGAGGCAGAGTTTACATGCCAGACTGGCGGGGTCAACTTAGCCCGTTCCAGGGCAGTTTACCCTGTCTCTGCTTCCTCCTTTGAACTAAAATTAATATACTTATTTTTTATTAATCATAACCTCCACCCTTATACTACACTTATAGCACATATCACCTTACCAGGCCAATTAGCTACTGACCCTAATATTAGTGGAATCCTTGCCTAAACCTAACACCTGACCCTTGCCTTAAAATTACACTTAGCCGATCCTTAGCCTTGACACTTGCCCTAAACCTAATTTTAGCCCTTACTATCAACTTACCAGACCAATTAGCTACTGACCCTAATATTAGTGGAAACCATGCCTAAACCTAGCATCTGACCCTTGCCTTGAAGTTACACTTGGCCGATCCTTAGCCTTGACACTTGCCCTAAACCTAATTTTAGCCCTTACTATCAACTTACCAGATCAATTGGCTACTGACCCTAATATTAGTGGAATCCATACCTAAACCTAACATTACTCTAAAAGCTAACCCTAGTTCTCCAAGTTCTACAAACTGGCTTGGCTATGGATCTGAGAGATACCAACGAACGTGCGTCGGCCCGTGCATTGCCTTTGATCCCCTAACCAACTGCTCTAGTCATCGGACTGGGTGGGGGGGGGGCGTCATCGAGAGAGTGTCTAACGCCTAACATACAAAACATTAAGCAACCTAGTGAGAGACATCATGAAGTAATTATTGCACTTTTTACGTCTGTCCGCTGATCTGCTTTTTTCGTCTGGTTTTTTCGAGGAAAAACGTCAAAAACCCACGAAATACTGTGCATAACCTTTTCATACAATTTCATACGAACTGATAATGAGAATATGTTGACTGGGGAGCCAGATCTCAGATATAAACAAAGGAAATGGGTCAGGATAAAAGCAGAAGACCAAAAGGAAGATGACACACAGGGGCAGGGCACAGAGAAGGTCCGTGTACATGCTGGTCATTCAGTTTTGGTTTGATAATGAGAGATCCAAAATTGGAAAACAAAACTTTACCTGATTTCCTTTTTGATTTACCTTTCCTCTTGATTCAGCTCCAACCTCCCTAATCCTCTCTGTTTTGTTTAGATAGTGACCCTGAAACAGTTGTTATACCAGCATGGAGAGACTTTGCACCATTTATTTTTGTCAGAATTATTGTATTTGTAGTTATTATTGCCGCTTTGGTGATTGTCAATACACAAATGCATTGTATTAAAATAAAAAGATGTAAAGATCTGATGGACTGCCTCGAGGTCCATGTGATACTTTCTGGTCCTTGTCATGTATTCCTTTTGGTTGTAGAGATTTTCAACCAGAATGTCATACACTGGAAAAAATCTAAATCTAGACGAGTCATTTTTTTTCTTAAAATAAGTGCATTTGCCCTTGGATTAAGGTAGTAAAAGAGAAATCTTGCCAATGGAACAAGGCAATTTACATTTAGAATAAGAAAACAGAATAACATTGTTTAATTTCAAGTGCATATTATCTAATTGTCTTATTTATCAGAGTAAAAATGCTGATTCCATTGGCAAACTATCTCATTTACCTACTCAAATTAAGGGGAAATACACTTAATTTAAGACATTTTTACATATTTCTAGATTGTTTTTCCAGTGTATGTACACTAATAGCAATAATAAGGAAGGAGATTTATTGGGAGTGTCGAGGGATGCGGTTGAATGAAAAAGTTTTAGTATTGTACTACATCTGATTTTATTTTTTTTATTTTTTCCTACTTGCTTTGATTCTGTTTTATCTTCCTGTATTTTAATTATGTAAAGCACTTTGCATTGTCTTTGTACTGAATTGTGCTATACAAATAAATTTGCCTGGATAGCGTCCTCCGCTCATATTGCAGTAAGAGCC